AACTCAATAAGTGGCCCTCTGCCTGAAATAATCGCCCGCCCCTGGCTAAGGACATAGGCGGGCAAGGTTCTTTGAGTAGATGTGATATCTTTTATTAGACCAACTGAGTAGTTGGAAAAAAGTTCTTAGCAAGCTTTTGGGTGCAGAAACCCTTCTCAGGCATGGGGAGTCTCTGGTGTTCTGAGACTCCAAGAAATAAAAGAACTGAAAACTGTGGCAGGATGTCAGTGAAAATGTAAATAGGGTCAGCACTCCAGGATTTGGCCTGAGTCACGCAACTGGTTTTACAGGTTCTGTTGAGGAATCTTAAGGTAATGGTCTGAGGGGAGGGAATGGGAAATGATCCTCTCCAGTCCTACAGGAGGTACACTATACAACAATCACACAGAAAACATTATCATGCTTTACAGCCAAGCCACTGCTTCCCAGCCCTGCCTGCGTCCCTCACTCTGAACCTGAAGCCCCCCGCTCCACCAGCCCTCCCAGTCCCTCTCATTCCTAGCTAACCTGCAGCCCCCCAGCCCAGCTGGTGCCCCTCACTCCTGACCTGCAGCCCCCTGCCCTTCCAGCCTCCTCCCCCCCCCAAACCTTGCCAGTGTACCTCACTCCCTACCTGCAGCCCCCTACCCCTTCAGGCCAGCTGGTGTCCCTCACTCCTGACCCACAGCCCCCTGCACTCCCAGAAAGAGGCAGTATGGCTGTCAGGCAGAGCAATGGCAAGCAGAGGATGGTCAAAGGAGGACAGGGGCATGCTTCTGGGGACAAAAATAGGCCTAGAAGGAACAGAAGTACCAGAAAAGAGGGGCAAGTTTGGGGGTTAGAGGACAGGAATAGGAACAAGTATTGAAGGGATCTGGTTGTAGGCTGGGGGAATATGACTGCAGGCAATGATAATCTGCCAATGCAGCAATTAAAAGATTGACATGAAAATAGACTAAGTGATAAGAAAATTCCTCTCGTTGAGCCTGGACTGTTTCTTTCTTCACCTCAACCCACACCATGCCCCTGCTGTGTGGGGTGTTAGCTCATGCTGGCCACTCTGTGGTGATCACGGGAGGAGAGGGAGTTGGAGTAGGCTGATCGCCCCCCCACAACCCCACTTTGGGGGAAGCTGTCCTGGGCATGGTGATACCCAAGGAATCTTAATCAACCTCAATAACAACCCCAGGCCACCCCCACGCTGGTACTCAGCTTTGGAAAAAATCCTGCTTTTTGATATGAAGATATAAATGACAGACAGGAGACACAGGATTTTTTTCTGTTTTACATAAAAATTCCTGTGGTAATGGTTCCATTCAGGCTTTATCCTGGGTAGCCTAGGTACATGATACCCAGATGCCAACACACAAGGAGGCAGGTGGGGGTGGGAAGGGGAGGGGATGGGGGGTAATCAGACCCTTTGTGTACCCTTGCGTAGCCCTAAGTGTACTCCACACCCAGCACCTGGTGCAACAAGCATGCAGAAAAAGTGGGGGGGCAGAACTGCTTTGGGACCTGGCTTGGGTAGGGGGGCAGAGGCCTATGGTACAGACCCCCCAGTGCCAATCCAGACTTGTGAGGGGGAGACAGGCAGGCTCGCTCTTACGGACCTTTGCATGAAAAGATTTCCTTCCCGACCCAGCAGTACCCCATGCAACAAGCGCCCAGAAAAAAGTGTGAGGATTTGCAAGGGAGGCAGGCAGCACTGCTCAACACCCCCCCCCCCTCAAATGCACATCTCTCAAGCAAAACCACCAACAATTCCCCCAAAAAAGCAACCCGGCATGACCCAAGAAAATAAACCAACCAAAATATCAAATCTTGTCCTAAAACACCACCTGGCAGTAAAGTAGTAATGAAAGGGCAGGAGAGTAAAATTGTTCTGACGTGCCCCCTAGTGCATTTTACTACTTATAGCATAATAAACCATTGTGTGATAAATCACACCCACGTTAATTAATTAGTCATCATAAACTAAGTAAGAACAATTAAACCAGGTGCATTTTTAGCGGGTAAACACCGATTACGTGGACAAGCACCCATAGAAATAATTCTGCAGTCCCTGTTTATATATACTTTCCTTTATGTAAATATCAGCATCCTGATCATAGGATTAATGAAACTATTTAATGAGAAAAAGACAGAGACAACACACTATCATTTTTGCATGGGAGATAGAAATACAACCTCCAAATTAGAACTTCCTTGACTTTAAATCCTGGAGGCTGCAAGTGAGAGAGGAGCTGTGGAAAAAAACCCCAGTTATACCAGTTCACTCTCCCTTTCAGCATCTGTTCTGTGCCACTGTGTGACAGGATATTGGGCAAGGTGGACATATCATCTGACTCAATAAATGGCAAATCATAGAATCACAGAAAATTAGGGTTGGAAGAGACCTCAGAAGGTCATCTACTCCAACCCCCTGCTCGAAGTAGGGTCACCCCCAGCTAGATCATCCCAGCCAAAGCTTTGTCTAGCCAGGTCTTAAAAATTTGCAAGGATGGAGAATCCACCATGTTTCTGGGTAACCTGTTCCAGTGTTTTACTACCCTCCTAGTGAGAAAGTTCTTCCTAATATCTAACCTAAATTTCCCTTGCTGCAACTTGAGACCATTACTCCTTGTTCTGTCCTCTGCCACCACTGAGAACAATCTAGCTCCATCCTTTTTTGAACCACCCTTTAGGTAGCTGACAAGAAGACTGACGGGGGATTTAATAGTGGGGTCACCAGGGCCTGTGCTTGCCATGAAAAGATGGCAAAAATGGTGCTGGCTGCTGAGAGCAACCTGCACACTCCACAAAATCCCAAAACACATGCAGCATAGGCACCTTAGCATGGTGCCAGGTATAGGCCAATAAATATACTTGCTACAGCAAGGTTACTGATAGGGATCTACTTAAAGTGCAAGGAGGTAAAGGAAAAACTGCAGGTTGCTCTCAGTGCCCAGCACCATTTTTGCCATCTTTTCATGGCAAGCATCCCACTCACTGGTGGCTCTGCTGTTAAATCCCCCCTTGGTCTTCTCTTTTCTAGACTAAATAAGCCCAGTTCCCTTAGCCTCTCCTTATAAGTAATGTGCCCCAGCCCCCTAATCATTTTTGCTGGCCTCTGCTCGAATCTTTCCAATTTGTCCACATCCCTTTCATAGTGGGGGAGCCCAAAACTGAACACAGTGCTCCAGATGGGCCTCCCCAGTGCTGAATAGAGGGGATGAACCACTTTCTTTGATCTGCTGGCAATACTCCTACCAATTCAGCCCAATATGCTGTTAGCCTTCTTGGCAACAAGAGCACACCTGTTGGCTCATATTCAGCTTCCTGTCCACTGTAATCTCCAGGTCATTTTCTGCAGAGCTACTGCCCAGCCAGTCAGCCCCCAGCCTGTACCAGTGCATGGGGTTCTTCTGTCCTAAATGCAAGACTTTGCACTTGTCTTTATTGAACCTCATGAGATTTATTTTGGTCCAATCCTCCAATTTGTCTATGTCTCTCTGAATCCCAGACCTACCCTCCAGCATATCTACTACTCCCCTGAGCTTGATGTCATCTGCTAACTTACTAAGGGTGCACTCTATGCCATCTTTCAGGTCATTAATGAAGATATTGAACAAAATCTGATGTCCTTATGTCCCAGGGCCTTGGTACAACCATCACAACTGTGTAGCTGAATACATCACCCTGCTGCCGCTCCCAGAGGTTGGATGGGGCCTTCCTAAAGCCTTCAACAGTGCCTGAGACTCCACCTATTCTCTGGTATCTGAATGGCTGGCTCTTATCACTAACCCTCCACTCCTCCTATATAAGAACAGGGAAAGGAACAAGAAGTGCCTGGGTAATAGGTCTCTTCTTGATCTGAGACTGCATTTTGGTAACTTGATTTCCTGGTTTCCTGCCTTATCTTGCTCATGGACTTTGCTCTCCCCTGGATCTCCAGATGTCCCTGGATTTTGCTTGCTCTCTCCATTGGTTTTTTAACCCAGCCATTAACATTGATCCCTTATTGGCCCCTAGGCCTAGCTGCCCACATCTCAGCACTGACACCCAGGAAGTTGAGACTGTGAGGAAGAAAATGGTGGCATAAACCTAATTATTGAGTGCTCCGGTTGAAGGAGAAACCCTGGATTTTGGAAGGGAAGGAGTAAAAAACAATGGATATGATTCTGGAATCTTCAGGGTTCAGGATCCAAATAACTCTAGGCCCTACCCATATGGAAAAGGCAGGAAAAGGTATACTATACAGACAGTATGCCATATGCTTCTCATAAATATAACATATGGTATCTGTGTGGACTGTAATTAAAGGGAACTGCTCTTATGAGACAATATATGATCTCCCATAAGTTCAATATGTAAAACATATGATATTTAGTTATATATAGCATACACATATACATTACATATATTTTTGTTGCTCATAGTGGATAAACAAAAGAAGAAGGAATTGAAAAGAATGTAAAGGCAACAGAATAGAATTTTGATACTCTAAAGATAAAGAGTATAATATGTTAATAGAGGCCTTATAAGCTCATGATAGATTATTTGTGGGGGAACGTGAAAAACTGTAAAATGGACTAGAGACAATACAAAGAACAAGAAGGGAAGAGGAGGCAAAGAAATATGCCTGTTTCCTGAATTAGGGGAGAAAGGCCAATAGAAAAGACAGACTGTATGAGCTAGATGTTTGCTATTGCAGATGGAAAAGAAGCAGTGTAGAGTAAAGATAAGAGGAGATATCTATATATATATATATATTTGATATCTATATATCTATATATTTGATATATCTATATCTATATCTATATATATATATCTATCTACCTATATATATATAGGTAGATAGATAGATAGATACACACACACGTATGTATGCATGTATGTATTAAAACAGGTAATGGAAAAAAACAGAAAGAGAAGAAAGAGAGTAGGCAAGAAAAAAAATAAAAAATTGGGAAAAACAAATATACTAAAAAAACATATGGTAGGAAAGAAACAAGAAACACAGAGAAAGAAACAAAAGGCACTTGATTATTTTATTGAAAGCAATTAAAGCTATTAATACAGTCTGAAAAATGAGGCATCATTGTTTGCACATTAACAAAATGCTACTAGATATTTTTTCCCTCAGATTCTGTCACATTATGCTTCTTCCGGATGTTCAGATTATACATCATTAGGATCCATTCAGATGAAAAGTACTAGGTAAATTTAAATTTATTAGCATAGTAATTGTGAATTTTTCGCAAACATGTCATGATTCACTCTAATTTATTTGTTATTTGAAATGATTTCCCAGCTAATTTTTCTAATTCCTGATCTGTAGCTCACTTTTTTTTTGTGAGGATTTGATAATTACTCATACTTTTGACTGTTTTGATTGCACGTGTACAGTGTGTCTAAGCTGTGAAAAGATCACACTAGACAGTATCACATGAAGTATGGAATGTCCACTCCGCAAAATCCCAAAACACACGCAATATAGGCACTTTAGCACAGTGCCAGGCATAGGCTAATAAATATGCTTGATACTGCAAGGTTATCGATAGGGATCTACTTAAGATGCGTCGAGGTGAAGGAAACATTGCAGGTTGCTCTCACATCTGGCACCATTTTTGCAGTCTTTTCTTGGCAAGCATCCCCCCGGTGGCTCCACCCTTCACCGCTGATTGGCCGAGAGGACTGCCTTTTTTGAGGCCCTGCCTCTCACCGCTGATTGGTGGAGAGGAGCAAGGCCACATAACAGGCAGCCCTCTCGGCCAATCAGCAACAGAGAGAGCAGCAGCCGTCTTGGTTACCCACCCTTGTGCAGGCTGCTTCCTGCCCTCTTCCCCCCAAGCCACAGCCACATTTTGTGTAGATCCCTAATTATTAAGGTGCACGAAGTGCCACACTAAGGTATCTCCATTGCATTAATTTGAACATGCATGAAGCAGAAGCACCATACTTCCGTGCAGTACTCCCTAGCACAATCCTGTTAAGAAACAGATATGCCTGTAGTCATATGCAAATTTATGTTCCCTGACTAGTGGAGTACAACCCTAGAATCAGGTTTCTAGTGCACGTATGTTTAAATTTGCTTTCTATACATATTTTTAATATTGTAAAGAATTCTGTTTTAAAGAATATTTCTACTTGTTTGCTAGGATGTCTATTAATAGAAAGAAAATAAAGAGAGAAGAGCAAAGTCAAAGAGAATTCACTTAAAAATCCAAATGTATATTCTCAGTTATGTCCTACAGTGTTTATCTCTGGCAATAACTGTATTTATTGTCTCAAAACAACACACAGAAATGAATGCACACCATATTTAAACTCAGTGTAAAACTTTCATTAATTTATAGGCATAAAATGAAGTGGCTGACCACAGTTTAATTAACTTCTTTTAAATAGCAGCCACTTGCAGTTGCCCTTTTAAAGAGAATAAATTGTTAGGCTCTAGAATATCCATAACAAATGAAATTGCATTTACACTTGTGAAAACTTACACAAACAAGCCAGGCTTAGAAAAGCTCAAGGTTTGGTAAGAGGGATGATTCATTAAGCCTGTATTTTCATTTCCCCCAACTGATTTACCTACTACAATTGAGAGGTTTTATCAAATGATGTCATGAAGATATTGTTAATGAAACAATATCTACTTAGAAACAAATGTGTTTGTTTAATTTTTTATTTAAGTACTGTCTCTGTGTCATGCAGCTTTAAGCCTGAACCTAGACTCTTGGCAAATCACTAGTTCACATGGCATTGTGCCACATCAACTCAAGTTACACGTAGAGGGAGATGAATCACAGCATGGACACAGTAAAACGCATCCAGATGCAGAATTAGCCAAAAAAATATGGCTATTTGTTTAATGAATTATTGGCACTGTGCATCATAGGTCAACTTGTTGGTTTTCATAGATATTGCTCTTGTGCTCATTCGTATGCATTTGAAGATATATACATTGTGAGATCTCAATATGTTGAGTCAGCATCTGTCTTTTGTCAGACTATTTTTCTGAAGTTATCCAGAAGAGAAATATGTAGTTAGATATGTTCTATCAATAACTGTTCGACCCATCACTTTAAGCAAAATGTCTGTACAGCTGCTGTGCTGCATTCTCCTATTTTCCCAACAAGATAGCAGGTAAAATTGCAGACAATCTCTTACCAGTAGAGGTGCTCCTCATGTGTGGGACAAATTCTGTAAAAATTAAAAGGTAAAAGTAAATGAAATTTTTTTTAATGTTCACATTGCCTTTCTGCTTGCAAAGATGGCAGGCCATACTAGACAAGAAATTGCTCTTTTTCTCTACAGACCAAGCACAGGATAGGCAGAAGCAACATGTGCCTCCCATACATTTCACCCAAAATATATCTTTTTAATTAAGAAAGTTAATAATTCTTCCTGCACATTTGCTTCTTGGCTGCTGTTCCAGTTTTGGGTTTCAAGTGGGAAGCATTAAAGGTAGACAGCTTCACTGTTTAGGGCATTTCTGCTTTACCTTGATACTTTGCCTTTAAATTGTCTTGTTCTCTTGCTTGTTCTCCAGTTTTATAAGTTATTCTCTTTTCTTATTGTAAACAGCCTCTGTTTGGAAGGGCAGCATATAAATAGAATAAATAAATAATTAATTGTCAAAACCAAACAAAGCAAAAAATTGCTGATGTTAGTCTTCATTTTGCGTTTTGGTGTACTTTTCAACTCTAGACTCAAAGCAAAACTCAAGGCATGAAACAAAGCCAGAAACAAAGTGATTTATGTCAAGAGAACCTTCTAAATTTTCCACAGCCCTAGCTACATCTCTGAAATCAAACAAATGATATTCAGGGTGAAGGCAAGGGAGAGGTAGAGTTCAGTTGTAGTTTACCACTATAAAAGCTTTTTCTCGTTCTCTTTTTTTAAATGGTTATCACTTTTTTTTAAGACGTAATTGGCTAGATATAAAAAATGCTGAGCATCCATTATGGAACTAAAAACAACACTTAGGCATGTATTTTAGACTTTCACATCTGTTTCCCTGCCCCCACACAAAGAGTTAGGTGCAAAGAGAAACTAAAAGCCTAAGGAAATCCATGAGTGTGAGCTCATGTGACTAATCCAGTACCTCACCAAAATAGGTGAGAGTGGGAAGAGCTAAGAATCAAAGTATACAAAAAAGAACTTAAAAAAATGTGTGTAGGCAACTTTCATTCAAGTTGGACAATTCTAGATGACAAATCTGTGGCTATGATACATTAGGTTACTAAAAATAAATATGAAATGATTGATTCACCCAGAGTATATATACTTTCTGAAATACTCTAAGTAGGAGAAACTATCACATACAAAATTTGGAAGGCTCAACTGCCTGAGGGTAATCTGAGATATTATGGTTAGTTGTTAATTGCAGAAGAAGCAACACAGTACTTTTCTTTATTGCAGTACACATCCTATCTTATATTAATGTTAAAAAGTGTTCTGTATATACACAGGGGAAACAGATAATGACTTCCAGCATTATCGAAAAGTAATGTAACTGACTATTGATTTCATTGATGGGAAATGGGATCTTTTGCAGTTTACATCTGTATAGATTCAAGTGACTGATGAATAAACATTTTTTTCCTGTTGCATGGACATTTTCCTTTGTCAGGAGGGTAAGAGGAAATGTTTTGAGGGAGACATTTTATAACACAGTAATCTGCTCTTACAGGCTACCACTTTTTTGTTCTTGGATATTTCTAACTGTAAGTGTGCATGGCATCAGCCTGGGTAGTTTGTATTACAGAGGGTTTAGGTAAAAGTTCAAATGAGTACCACCTTAGTCACACAATAATATGGAACAGTCCAACAAAGGGTTTAGCATTTGTGCAAGGCTCTCTAGATACAAAATTACAGGGTTCAGAATGTTTAGCCACTTGAGTGAGCTGATTGGCTGAACATCGCTAAGTGCTCTGTAATAAGTGCTCTCTTTGTTTCTTAAAATGTGAAAGGCCTGTGGTTGATGGGCCTTGTAGGTGGGAGCAGGCAATTAAGGTCTTTTTCACAAGATGCAAACCCCTGAATATTGAATATATACTCTTCAGTAGGGTACTTTGTGCATTGAATGTTATTTTAGTTGTTTTGAACTTGTACGTTAGTGTTAAATTGTTTTCTTCAGCTATTTGTTAACAAGATTTGCATGCAGACCTCCCACACACTGCTTAATACAATGTACCTCACATTGCATAGTACTTCTCCATTCCATTATGGGGAAGTTTCATTATTGCTCATTTTTTAGGTTCCAAGCAATTTCAGTGCTCATGAAAGTTAAACTAATTGCATTAAATAGAAGTGCTCACAATGTGGACAGAAGGACAGACTCCACTTTCCTCTTGAAAACCCAAAAAGCCATTTCCCACCTGCATTTCTGCCATTTTTAGCACTTACAACTTGTACTCCTGTGGACGTATAAGCATCCACACAGCTACTGAACACTCACTGACTAGACCTGAACATTGCTCCATGGTCACATACCTAAGTCCCAAAGCTTGGGGAAGAATATCCATTCATTTTTTAGTGCAAATGCACAGCAGTTAGGGTATTTACCCAGGAAGCAGGTCACCCAGGTTTACTCAAAAGAGGTTTGAACCTGCATCTCTCTAAGTTCCCACCACAGTGATTGAACTGGGAGCCCACAGATTAGAGACAAATATCAGTCTCTTCTTTAGCCTTTGTTTGGAGCTGGCTGGGCAGTCAAGTGAAAAAGGCATGTGGAGCCAAGAGGAAGACAGCAGAGAAGCTGGATTGTATATAGCCTACTGAGATGCAGCAGGTTCTGGGTTCCAGCCTGGGACCTTGCTCCCAATGAGGCAGAAACCTCCACTGCTTTCTTTCTGTTTTGTCAGATGAATGTTAAATGCAAGGGGCGGTTTCTCAACTTTGAGAGAAGTACTGGAGGGGGTATCTGCATAACTCTTGTTGGACCGGTGCAGGTTCAAATATCCTCTGTGCCATATGCACTAATTCCGTGGGTGCTCCAGGGCTCAAGCACCCACTGAATAAAATTAAAAGAAACACACTTTACCAGAAGAAGCACTCTGTGACTTCTGTACGTGTGTCTATATAGATTGGGCACTTCAGCAAGGTTTTTTGGCATTTTTATCTAAAGCTGATTAGATAAGAGTGCCCAAAAAGCTTCACTAATGCTCCCAGTCTTTATAGGTACTGCAGAGCCAGGTAGAAGTAACACATTGCCTTTTCTGGGCAATCACGTGGCTTGGCACAGGAACACCGAGTTAAAAGTAAAGTGTTGTGGATGGGGGGGGGG